CTTATAAATAAAAATTGTGACTATATATTTCTTTTATTTTTCAATTGCTATTGTAAAAATATATTATGAGCCTTGTATTAAATTTTGAAATCTTAGATATAAWARGAAAAWTTTTTATGAATTKCTAGCATAAAATAATTTACGAATTTTCGTGATTTTTACATAATATGTAAAATTCATTTAAAAATGTTGTATAAAAATAATTACAAAAATATTTTAAATATTTTCTTTTCTTTTTATTTTAATTACAGATTTATATTTTCTTTAGGTACATAAATTGTTTAACTTTGTAAAGCCCCCTCTCCCACTATAGCGACCTACTGTCTCAAGCAGTCTCAAGTGGCGCATTTGAAAGATTTGTGCCCCGGGGCAACATATTTTTGTCACCCCTAGTCATCCCATGCAATATTTTTCCTGCTAAAAACTTTCCTGTGTATTATCATTCCATTCAACACCTTTCCTGTATTTATTATTCCCTCAAATTATGTTCCGGTGTATTATTTTCCTGTGTTTTACAGCCCTTCGCGGCTGGGACAGACTGGTCGGCCGACCGATCAGTGCTGCCCGTGTATACAAAWAAAAAGATCGCTAACAATATTAATTATAAAAAATGGCCTGATATCTTTAAATTGTTGTGGAGTTATATACATTAAAGACAAATCTYGATSTAATCTATTATRAAMATGCTTATAATCCATCAACATATCATAAGCAATATTAAATATTTCTTTTTTAAAATCTAAATTCAATAGTTCTTCCGGATATCTAATACTATCAATATCAAGCCAAATATTTTTTAAATTACAATTATCAAACTGTATTGGATCTCTTAATTGATTATCTAGCTTATCTGTTTGGAAAGTGATGATAACAAATAAAGGATTATTAATATTTCTATACATATTTGTTATGTCTTTGGTTAGTGTTTTACCACTAATATTTCTTTCTTCAATACATTGCCATGATTTGAATATAAACATATATTCGTTTCTTTTAGACAGTAAAGTTAGTTCATTTATCAACTTTGTTTTATTCAAATCATCATAAGTCACAATTGGTATTCTAACCAATAACAATAATAAACAACTTCATCAATAACAATTTTTCCAACACCAGCTAGATCACCTTTTTCATTTTTATCTCTAAATAAAGCATCATTGTCAGAACGTCTTAAAAAATTTATTTCAAAACCCCCTTTATATACCGGATATTCTATATCTTTAAAAAATCCTAAATATAAATTAGACAATTTGCCAACAGCACTAAAATAACCACCTTTATTAAATTTTGATTGAAATCCACTATTTATTGTGGGACCACTAAGATCTGCAGAATAACTAACTGTACCTTTAATTAAACTACATCTTCTAACATTATCAATTCTATCATTTCTTTACCATGTTTTTTAACACAAATCCATTCAAACAAAAATGGAACAAAATTATCAACTAACAATATTTTTGAATCTGCTGGGTAGTTATTACCATCAGATTGTAAGACAGAGCCAGAAATTTGATACTTTGCTTTTTTAATATTTAAAAAACTATTTTCTTCCTTTATATTATAAGTAGTGATTTGATTAGGAGAATTAAGATTTGATGAAGATATAGGCCAATACACGTTATCTTGTTCACGGATATTAGCATGGTCATAATTAGCAAATATATTTTCCATTTATAAGGAAAAAATGTATTAAAGCTTATAATTCTGAATAAAATCTAAACATAAATGACCACATATAGGTGGATCATTATAATTTTGCAATTGTTCAGTGTTGTAAAATAAATTATCTTTTCCTAAATAATTTACAATTTCTTTAATTGGAATTGAATCTCCATAAGAGTCAAAATATA